TTCAGGATTCCTGGAAAATTGACCTATTTACCACTGTATAATATCAGTCTTTGTCCTATGCTAAAACCTCCCCCTGCCCTGCCCCAGACGAAGTCTTATTCTCTTGCCCAGGCTGGAGTGCAATGGCATTATCTTGGCTCACTGCAACCTTTGCCTCCCAGGTTCAAGTGATTATTCCACCTCAACCTCCTGAGTAGCTGTGATTACAGGCACCTGCCATCATGCCTGGCTAATATTTGTACTTTTGTAGAGATGGGGTTTAACCATGTTGGCCAGGCTGGTCTCAAACTCCTGATCTCAGGTGATCTGCCCACCTCGGCCTCCCAAAGTGCTGGGATTATAGGCGTTAAGCCACTGCACCTGGCTGCTAATACTTGACTTAAAGCATATTGTGATAATATGATTATGACTGCCTCACCCAATTGTGGTTACTATTTTTATGGAATATGGATTTTTTTCTGTTACTTTCAGCCTATTTGACTCAGTGCTAAAATGAGTCTGTTGTAGGCAGCGTATTTTATGCTTTTTTCTTAAGCCGCTCTGGCGTTCTATTTATTTTGCTTTTTATAATTATTTTGTGTATTTATTTTCGAGACAGGGTCTCATTCTGTCAACCACACCGGTTTGCAGTAGTGTGATCATGGCTCACTTCAGCCTCAACCTTCCAAACTCAGATAACTATCATTTTCGTCTATGATTTCAGATGGTTCTGTCATTTCAACCCACCATTAAAAGTATGGACCATCACCCCCAGTTAGTTTGTTTTTGTTTTTCCTGAGATGGAGTCTTGCTCTGTCACCCAGGCTGGAGTGATGTGGCCTCACTGCAACCTCTGCCTCCCAGGTTCAAGTGATTCTCCTGTCTCAGCCTCCCGAGTAGCTGGGATTACAGGCATGTGCCACTGCGCCTGGCTAATTTTTATATTTTTAGTAGAGATGGGATTTCAATGTGTTGGCCAGGCTGCCTGTTGAACTCCTGACCTCAAGTGATCCACCTGCTCGACCTCCCAAAGTGCTGGGATTACAGGTGTGAGCCACTGCGCCTATTATTTCTTTGTATTATTTGTAGAGACAGGGCTTTGCCATGTTACCTAGGCTTGTCTCAAACTCCTGGGATCAAGTGATAAGTCCATGTTGGCCTCCCAAAGTCCTGCGATTACATTTTTTTAATCAAGTAGTTTAATTAATTTGTAAAAATTACTTAAATGAAGTTACTATTACTTTTTATTGTTACTGTTTTATATGTTTCTTTTTTTTAATTGCATTTTAGGTTTTGGGGTACATGTGAAGAACATGCAAGATTGTTGCATAGGTACACACGTGGCAGTGTGGTTTGCTGCCTTCCTCCCCATCACCTATATCTGGCATTTCTCCCCATGCTATCTCTCCCCAACTCCCCACCCCCCACTGTCCCTCCCCTATTTCCCCACAACAGACCCCGGTGTATGTTGCTCCCCTCCCTGTGTCCATGTGTTCTCATTGTTCAACACCCACCTATGAGTGAGAACATGTGGTGTTTGATTTTCTGGTCTTGTGTCAGTGTGCTGAGAATGATGGTTTCCAGGTTCATCCATGTCCCTACAAAGGACACAAACTCAGCGTTTTTTATGGCTGCATAGTATTCCATGGTGTATATGTGCCACATTTTCCCTGTAGATATGTTTTTCTCATTTCCTGCTCTACTACCCTAATTTTTGTTTTAAATTTTTAGTGACATGCTTTAATTTTCTTATTATGTTTTGCCTACTTTCTATAAATATCTTTGTAATCATCTTGAAAAATGGAGATAACATACCACATCTTAGAGTGGAAAAATATATTTTAACGTCATATCAACAAATTGAATACAAAAGCTATACCTCAGCATTTTCCAGTTTGCTATTGATATTAAAAATTATATTATTTTGGCCAGACATGGTGGCTCATGCCTGTAATCCCAGAACCTTGGGAAGCCGAGGCGGGTGGATCACCTGAAGTTGGGAGTTCACGACCAGACTGACCAACATGGAGAAACCCCGTCTCTACTAAAAATACAAAATTAGCTGGGCGTGGTAGTGGATGCCGGTAATCCCAGCTACTCAGTGGTTGAGGCAGGAGAATCGCTTGAACCCGGAAGGCAGAGTTTGTGGTGAGCCTAGATCCCACCATTGCACTCCAACCTGGGCAACAAGAGCAAAACTCCATCTCAAAATAGTAATAATAATAATGTTATATTATGTATCTATTAACAGATTTATGCAGATTTTATATTTTGTTTTTCATATTTCATAAAACTTGAAGGGTTTTTTGCACCATCACTATGATAATAAAGAATTCTATGTGTATTTGTATATTGAATTCTATGTGTATCTCTATACATTGAATAGAGAGCTTTATACTTAATATATTTAATAGCGATGGTTTTATGATGCTGTCCAGCATTTTTTTTTTTTTCTTTTAAATAATGGACTCATTTCAGATTTTTTTTTTTTCTTTTCCTTTGTAAGACAATCTAGCTCTTTCACCCAAGTGCAGTGGTGTGATCTCGGCTCACTGCAACCTCCGCCTCCTGGGTTCGGGCGATTCTCCTGCCTCAGCCTCCTGAGTAGCTGGGACTATAGGCACATGCTACCAAGCCTGGCTAATTTTTTGTATTTTTAGTAGAGACAGGGCCATGTTGGCCATCATGCTCTCGATCTCCTGACGTCAGGATCCACCTGCCTTGGCCTCCCAAAGTACTGGAATTACAGTACAGGAATTACAGGTGTGAGCCACCCCATCCGGACTTTTTTTTTCATATGTAGAGTCTCACTGTGGTGCTCAGGCTAATCTTGAATTTCTGGTCTCAAGTGATCTGACTCCCTTGGCCTCTTAAAGCTGTGGAATTACAGGCACAATCTACTGTGCATGGACATCACGTAAAATAATTTCATATCAAATATAATTGCTTAGAAATATATATATATATATATATATTTTTTGAGATGGAGTCTTGCTCTGTCACCCAGATGGGAGTACACTGGCATGATCTCCACTCACTGCAACCTCCACCTCCTGAGTTCAAGCGATTCTTCTGCCTCAGCCTCCCAAGTAGCTGGGATTACAGGTATGCACCACCATGCCTGGCTAATTTTTGTATTTTTAGTAGAGACAGGATTTCACCATGTTGGCCAGGCTGGTTTTGAACTCCTGACCTCAAGTGATCTGCCCACCTTGGCGTCCCGAAGTGCTGGGATTACAGTGTGAACCACCACGCCAGGCCAGAATATTTTTTATTACATCAAAATTTGAGAAACTAGCAGCCTTTTTTATCTTCACATAACCTCTGTATTACTTTTTTCGTTAAGATTCCCTTCATGAATATATTGATGTACTTGATTATATACAGTAAGTTTTCTATTCCATGTTTTAATTTTGTTTTGCAATGTTATATTTTTGTGTTACATATTTTAGGGTATGCCATGTCACACCAGCTCATTGTATTGTAATTTTTTAGTCTATATTATAATGGTGTATTAAAATATTTAACTCTCTGCAATTTAAGACATTGTGGAGAAAAATGAAATATAAATCAGCCATATGTCTGTTTCCAGTATTATCTCTGTTTGTTTTCCTGTATAAATATTGCTATATGTTTTAATGACTTGTATGTTCATTGTGTAGGTTTAATTCTAAGTGAGTAGTCATAAAATTTTTCTAATTTCTACATCTGTTTATTGGTGAATCTGTATTATTTTTGTGTGAGATAAATGCTTTTGGATTTAAAGATAATTTGAAAACTTTTATAACTGTTTTCCTGTAATCCCAGCACTTATGCTTATATATGTGCACTATGAATATCTTCGTGTGTATCCTAGTTTGTTTGTAGAGCATCTTCAATTTCACATCATTTTTTCCTTTTAAACGGTTTAGCTATTTTTTTGTAATTTTACCTTCACAATTCCTGTTTTTGATATTTTTAATACTTGTGTTATCCTCATTTTTCTGATTTTCAATAGTTGTCTGTGTTCCTATTTAACTCATTATTATTCAATTTATTTTAAATTTTTACAATTTTACAGCTTACTTAATAGTTCCTTCAGAAAATTAAAATTTTTTGATGAGGCCATGTTGCCCTAATATTTTGTATGCATTATACTTTTTTTTTTAAAAGATGGAATTTCACCATGTTGGCCAGGCTGGTCTCGAACTCCTGACCTCAAGTGATCCACCCACCTTGGCTTCCCAAAGTGCTGGGATTAGAGGTATGAGCCACCATGCCCAGCCTTGCATTATAATTTTTTATTGAGATTTAGACATTAAAAGCAAGCTACCCATCACAGTCTTCATGTTGTAGCTTTGTCTTGGCTAGAGATTTTGTTAGTGCCTCAAACATGTTCTTAAAGTGTGTCTTTTCTGAAAATTTTTGGGTTTTTAGTTAAAGGAGTTGGTTCATGTTTCTTCTTAGTAGTCAGTTATCACTTGCTGTGCCTGTTTCCTGTCTGTGGTACTGCAATTTCTCTACTGCTGCAGCAGTTATCTTTGGTATCAGCTGACTCAAACTGTCTTTCCATAGTGTATCACCATTTCTTTTAGCATTTTATGTCACGACAGACAGAAACCAGTGTCTGTAAAGGCCCCTAGAAATCAGAAATAAATGTGTGTGTGCCACTGTTTTTTTTTTTCTTTGCAAAAAGAAACGAAGGGTTGGCAGTTTACTTCCAAAGGCACTATGTGATATTGGGGAGCAGGAAGTGCTGTGCTGGGTAAATGCCACAGTCTTTTCTTTCCCTTCTATGTGGCTCTTTGCATTGTGCTCACCTAGAGCACCGCACACACTTAACTCACTTATAAATTTTCCACAAATGTTATCTCTGTCAATATGTTTTTATTACATTGATATGTCTGTGAAGGAATTAGGGACTGTGGTATTTCGCTATGCCATCTTGCTCATGTAGTTTGTATATTTGTATAGGTTAGATTTGTAAAGATTATTCATCTGAGTCTAGTAAGTGAAGTAATTGTTATTTTTATTTCTTTCAGTTGTGTGTTCTCAAGACCTTTGGCCAAAGCAGGGCATAAAAGAGTCTTTACAAAAAGTGATACTGAGAAGTTATGGAAAATGTGGACATGAGAATTTACAATTAAGAAAAGGCTGCAAAAATGTGGATGAGCATAAGGTACACAAAAGAGGTTATAATGGACTTAACCAATGTTTGACAACTTCCCAGAGCAAAATATTTCAATGTGATAATTATGTGAAATTCTTTCATAAATTCCCAAATTCAAGTAGACATAAGAGAAGACATACTGGAAAGAAACCTTTCAAATGTTGTAAAGAATGTGGCACATCATGTTGCATACCTTCACAACTAATTCCGCATAAAAAAATTGCTACTAGAGTGAATTTCTATAAATGTAAGACTGGTGGCAAAACCTTTAACCAGTCCTCAAATCTTACTAAATATAAGATAATTCATACAGAAGTGAATCCCTACAAATGTGAAGAATGCGGCAAAGCTTTTAACCAGTTCTTAACTCTTACTAAACATAAAAAAATTCATACTGAAGAGAAACCTTACAAATGTGAAGAATGTGATAAAGTCTTTAGTGTATTTTCAGTCCTTACGAAACATAAGATAATTCATACAGGAACGAAACCCTACAAATGTGATGAATGTGGCAAAGACTTTAGTCTGTTCTCAACCCTTACAAAACATAAGATAATTCATACTGGAGAGAAACCCTACAAATGCAATGAATGTGGTAAAGCCTTTAACTGGTCCTCAACTCTTACAAAACATAAAAGAATTCATACTGGAGAAAAACCCTACAAATGTCAAGAATGTGGCAAAGCTTTTAACCAGTCTTCAACACTTACTAGACATAAGATAGTTCATACTGGAGAGAAACCATACAAATGTGAAGAATGTGGTAAAGCCTTTAAACGGTCCACAACTCTTACTAAACATAAAAGGATTTATACTAAGGAGAAACCATACAAATGTGAAGAATGTGGCAAAGCCTTTAGTGTATTCTCAACCCTTACTAAACATAAGATAATCCATACTGGAGCAAAACCTTACAAATGTGAAGAATGTGGCAGTGCCTTTAGGGCATTCTCAACCCTTACTGAACATAAGAGAGTACATACTGGAGAGAAACCCTACAAATGTGACGAATGTGGCAGAGCTTTTAACTGGTCCTCAACTCTTACTAAACATAAGAGAATTCATACTGGAGAAAGACCCTACAAATGTGAAGAATGTGGCAAAGCTTTTAACAGATCCTCAAACCTTACTCGTCATAAGAAAATTCATACTGCAGAGAAACACTACAGACCTAAAAGATGTGACAGTGCTTTTGACAACACCTCACACTTTTCTAGACATAAAAGAAATCATACTGTTGAGAAATCCTAGAAACGTGAAGACTGTGACAAAGCCTTTAAGTGGTTGTCACACTTGATTGTAGGTAAGATATACTAGAGAAGACTACTAGAAGTATGACGAATGTGGCAAACATTTAATTCTCGCACCTTATTGCACAGGAAAGCATTTATACTTGAGAAAAATTGTATAAATACAAAGAATGTGGAAAAGTCATTAATATCTGCTGACATCTTAACATCAGAGAGTTGGTAGTTACTAAAAGCATTATCAATGCAATTACTGATAAAAGATCTTTCAGAAAATGCAAGCCTGTAAAGTGAAGCAGACTATTTATTTTGAAGAGAAACATTAAAAATAGAGGTTTGTGATACCTTCACATGTATCACAGATCTTATCGTACACATTGCGTACTAGAGAAACACCCTAAAGCAGTGGTTCAAACTTTGTTCAGTACCAGGAAATTTGTATTTGAGAAAAACCCTATGAATGCAATGAATTTTGAAAAAATTTTTTCCAAGAACTACAGCTTAGAAAACACCAGAGGGATTATATGAAAATTTTTTTATTGCAAATACAGTAAATATGGGGAAAAAAGATGCAAAATTTAGTTTATGTAAATATCGGAGAATTCACATTTCAAGTGTCAGATATCTAAGATACTGACACTTCAGAAATTACACAAAGAGTGCTGAGTACAGAAAATTATCCAAAATGAAAGTTAGTAGATTAATAGAAGTGAAATTTTTTTTTGCAGAGGTGTATTTACATTCAGAGCACACTTTTATTTCAAAGAAATTACAGGTTTTTTGAAAAGTGAATAATGATGTGATTCAACTCTCAAATTCATGTTGTCATTTCTATTCACATGTGAAAGAATGTGATCAACTGTTGCTGTATCAAAGATATGAGAGTTTTTTTTTTTAGGTGGGCATTTATTACCTTCTGTGGAAGAGTTTCTATTAAAGTGAAAGACGCATGATAAAATCTAAGTGAAGAGGCTCTTGTGGTTAACTGATAATATTGAGCAATGCATGAGGTAGGTGTTCAGAGTAATATTCTGCATTAATAGTGAAAAAATTTCTTAATTTTTAAATATTAATATATCATTTGACTAATTTTACTTTTCTGTAATGCAGTACATTTCAGAATTTTAGATCATATATGAACTTTGATTTTTAAACATATTTTAACTTTAAGACCATTGTGCATTCAATGAAGAATTATGCCACAAACGTTCACCTATCCCACTTAATTATGCAGGTAAAAGGTAATGATAGCAATATTCTATTTGGTTACATAGTGGACTGATATCTTTAGTAATCTTTTTTTGCCAGTGGCTTTAAACTGCAAATAAGTTAAAGAATATGATTCTCATAGGGTTTACAATTTTTATTTTTTTGTTTCAATATATTCTTATTTTTCATGAGTACATAGTGTGTTTTTACATTTATGCCACATATGGCATGTTTTGATACAGGCAATATGCAATAATATGCAATAATTACATCAGGGTAAATGAAATATCCATTACTAGCATTTATCCTTTGTATTACGAACTATTCAATTCTATACTTTTAGTCATTTTTAAATGTATAACTAAATTGTTACTGCCTACAGGATTATCTTTAGGGTCATAATAAAAATTATAAAAGTTATTAAATAAAATACATTTCTGAGTCCTGAATACCTAAAAGAAAAATAAATAACAATTTTTTTTTCTTTTTTTTTGAGACAGAGTTTTGCTTTTATTACCCAGGCTGGAGTGCAATGATGCAATCTCAGCTCACCACAACCTCCGCCTCCTGGGTTCAGGCAATTCTCCTGCCTCAGCCTCCTGAGTAGCTGGGATTACAGGCACGTGCCACCATGCCCAGCTAATCTTTTGTATTTTTAGTAGAGACGGGGTTTCACCATGTTGACCAGGATGGTCTCGATCTCTTGACCTCATGATCCACCCACCTCGGCCTCCCAAAGTGCTGGGATTACAGGCTTGAGCCACCACGCCCGGCCAACAATTTTTTTAAACATGTGGCCTCTCTGCCTGCAAATATATAAGGACTTTTAGTTTTGATTTACATAGAGGTAAATATACATATATATTGCTTGAAAGATAACCCTTAGCTGTAGGAAAATTGTAAAGTATACTTGTGTATCTGTACCAATTTTCAGAAGAAAAGAGCAATATTAGAACACAAAAATAATTTAAATAAGGTGACTAATTTACTAGGAAACAAAAAACCTCAAATGCTAAAAATAAATCTATACTGTCTGCTTTGTATTGAATTCATTACTGTAAAATATTATGGCTTATAGTTCAGAATCTCCCCATGCAAATGTTCTGTTTTTACTTGCCTGGTACTCTTGGTATAGCCGTGTATTTCTTTATTCTTACAATTTCTTTTAAACCGTTTATGAAGTATTATGTGAGTTGGTCAGGGATTATAACAGTGATTTTTATAAAAGTAGTATACAAAAAGTAATTTTTAGATGTAATTTTACTATTAGCATATTAAGTTTTATTTGGTTAAAACATTCTCTCATTTTTTTAATTAGAGAACCCTATGTAATCCTACTTTTTAAAAGTTACTGTTTATTTCACTTTTCATAATTGACATAAATCAATTTATTTATTGCACCAGTCTGTTGAGTCAGGTAAGTACTATGGAGGCATCATAAGTCATGCGGATACTTTGATATACAAACATAGCAGACAAACATGACAGTGCTTGCTGTGTAACCGATGTTCCATAGTAAGACATAACTGTTCTTCCTGAAGTTAGTTTGTAAATTCAAGTCAGAAATGAAATATATCAGTGGTAAAACAGTAACATTGATTCTTCACGTGGAGAGTACATTATTTCCAGGTAGCAAAGCTAAGTCCTGCTGAATTTAAAGAGGAATCCTGGTTATTTTATTTTCTAATTATTTTCAGTTTTGTTTCTCTTATTATATGTATTCCAACAATCACAGCCCTTTTTTTCTGTGTTATGGCTACTGTTGCAGTGAGCCGATATCGAGCCACTGCACTCTAGCCTGGGTGACAGAGTAAGACTCAGTCTCAAAAATAAAATAACCTTTTACTCATTTTAATAGTTGTTTTTTATTGTATCGTCATTTGACTTACACACACACATGTTTTGAGACAGAGTCTCACTCTTGCCCAGACCAGAGTGCAGTGGTGTGATCTTGGCTCACTGCAGCCTGCCTCAGCCTCCCAAGTACCTGGGATTACAGGCATTGCAACCATGCCCAGCTAATTTTTGTATTTTCAATAGAGGAGTTTCACTATGTTGGCCAGGCTAGTCTCGAACTCTTGGCTTCCCAAAGTGCTGGGATTATAGCATGAGCCACCTCTCCTGGCCAAGTTTCTTTTTTTTATATATATGAACATCTTGTCACATGTATGGTTTGCAAATATTTTGTCCCATTTTTTAGTTTTCTTGTCCTATCTGTTGTGTCAGATTTTTTGCAGCAGTTTTTATTAATAATTTGAAGTAATAATGACATTTATTTTTCCTTTGATTCCCTGGGATGTTGAGGTTAAATCAAAAGTTACTGCCTAGACTGATGTTATGGGGCCTTTATATTTTTAGTAGTAGTTTCAGAGATTCCACCCTGACATTTAAGTATTGAAACTATTCCTAGTAGATTTTTAGATATGGTGTGAAATGAGGAGGGTCTCATTTTACTGCTGTGCTTGTGGCTATAATTTTCTCAACACCATTTACTGAAGATACTGCCCTTTCCCTAAGAAAGTAACTGTAAATACATGGATATCTTTTTTCTCGTTACTCCTCTATTGGCATATGTGTCTGTTTTTAATGCAAGTACCATACTGTTTTGGTTACTATAGCTTTGTAGTGCATTTCAAATCAGGTAGGGTAATAACTTCAGCTCTTTTTTTTTTAACCCCTGCTTGACTGCTTTGTTCATACAGGATCTTTTATGGGGTACCATATAAATTTTAGATACGTATTTTTACATTTTTTATTAAGTATGTCACTGGTATTTTGTTAAAGGTTGTGTTATATATGTAGATTATTTTGTGTAATACAGATATTTAACAATATTAATGCCAATTCATGAATGAATGTACAATTTTTTTATTTGTGTAATATTTAATTTCTTACTTTAATGTTCTTTATAATGTAATGTGTTTTAACTTTTTGGTTAACTTTATTGCAAAGTATAGTTATTAGTTATTGTGGATGAGATTGCTTTTTTTCTTTTGTTCTTTTACATGGAGTCTCACTCTGTCACCAGGCTGGAGTGCAGTGGCATGAGCTCGATTCACTGCAACCTTTGCTTCCTGGGTTCAAGTGATTCTTCTGCCTCAGCCTCCCAAGTAGCTGGGATTACAGGCATGTGCCACCACACCCAGCTCATTTTTGTATTTTTAGTAGAGAGACAGTTTCACCATGTTGCCCAGGCTGGCCTTGACCTCCTGACCTTGTGACCCACCTGCCTCAGCCTTTCAAAGTTCTGGGATTATAGGTGTGAACCACCGTGCCTGGCTGGGATTGCTTTTGATTTTATTTTGAGATAGTTAATTGTTCATTAGTGTATCGAAATGCTACCGATTCTCATTTTGTTGATTTTGTATTCTGCAAGTTTAATAAAACTATTAGTTCTAGAATTCTTAGTGAGATCTTAGGGTTTTCCACACCTGAGTATGCCTTCTGCAAACAGGGACAATCTAACTTTTTTTCCAAGCTGGATGCCTTTGATTTTATTCTCTAAATTTTCTATCATGGACATTTAGTACTATGTTTAATAATACAAACTTGCGTGGGCATTCTTGTTGCGTTGCTTCTAGCTTTTAGAGTTAAAAGCTTAAAGTATTTCCTAGATTAATATGTTGGTATGGCTCACGCCTGTAATCCGAGCACTTTGGGAGGCCGAGGCGGGCGGATCACGAGGTCAAGAGATCGAGACCATCCTGGCCATGGTGAAACCCCGTCTCTACTAAAAATACAAAAATTAGCCGGGCGTGGTGGCACATGCCTATGGTCCCAGCTACTCGGGAGGCTGAGGCAGAAGAATCGCTTGAACCCAGGCGGAGGTTGCAGTGAGCCGAGATTGCACCACTGCACTCCAGCCCGGCGACAGAGTAAGACTCCACCTCAAAACAAAAAAATATGTTGGTAGCCATGCATTTTTTTTTGCTATATGTGGTGTATATTGGCTTCAAGTGCATTTGTCCTATACCTGTTTTGTTCAGAGATTTATCATGAGGTTATGTTAAATTTTGTCAAACATTTATTCTGCATCTATTTTTTTTTGAGACAGAGTGTCACTCTGTTGCCAATGCTAGAGTGCAGTGATGTGATCTCAGCTCACTGCAACCTCCACCTCCTGGGTTCAAGTGATTCTCCTGCCTCACCATCCCAAGGAGCTGGAATTACAGGTATCTGCCACCAGCCAGGCTAATGTTTGTACTTTTTAGAGATGGGGTTTCACCATGTTGGCCAGGCTGGTCTCAAACTCCTGACCTCAAGCGATTAGCCTGTGTTGGCCTTCAAAAGCACTGCAATTACAGGCCTGATCCACTGTTCCTGTTATGAAATTACAACTAATCCCACATTGATACAAAACATCCTCAGAGACTACTGTGATGATATTTTATATTTATGTGGGATTAGATGTGATTTTCTATTATACATGCAAACCAGAAAATTTAGAGAAAATAAACTACTGAATACACACAACCTTCCAAGATTGAACCAGGAAGAAACAGAAGTCTTGAACCAAGCAAAAATAAAGTTGAATCAGTAATAAACCTACCAACCCTAAAAAGCCCTGGATCAAAGTCTACTAAGACACAAGAAAAATATCTACAGTCCAGTATTCCTGGTAGACATTGAAACAAAAATCTTCCACAAAATACTAGGAAGCTGAGTTCATAAGCAAATCAAAAAGTTATTTTGGCACAATTATGTAAGCTTTATTTCATAAATACAAGGATGTCATATAGAAATTATTGTGATTCACAATGTAAAGATAATTAAAAGCATTAAATCACATGATTATCATAAGATGCAGAAAAAGCATTCAAGAAAATTTAATGTTCATAAAAATATCAAGAAACTAGTCATTGAAGAAATATAGCTCACAATAATAAGAGCCATCTATGGGCAGATCCTTAGCCAATATCGTACTGAACAGGCAAAAGCTGGATGTATTATATACAAGAATAGAAATTAGACAAGAATATCCACTCTAGGACTGTAGTTCCAGCACTTTGGGAGGCCAAGATGGGTGGATTATTTGAGGCCAGGAGTTTGAGACCAACCTGACCAACATAGCAAAACCCTGTCTCTACTAAAAATACCAAAAAAATTAGCTGGTTTTGGTGGCACACACCTGTTATCCCAGCTACTCGGGCAGCCGAGGCAGGAGAATTGCTTGAACCTGGGAGGCAGAGGTTGCCGTGAGCCAAGATCGCACCATTGCATTCCAGCCAGAGCAGCAAGAGCAAAACTACATCTCAAAGAAAACAAAATCCACTCTAAACACTCATAATCAACATAGTTCTGGAAGTTCTAGCCAGAGCAATTCAGCAAGACAAAAGGCATCCAAATACGAAAAGAGAAAGTCAAATGATCTCCACTGATGATATAATTGCCCACCTGGGAGATGTCACCAACACACTTTACAAGTCTTCAAGAAAAAAATCTTTCAAAAGAAGATTTCACTAAAAGACTCCTACCTCTGAAAAGTGACTTCAGCAAATTCACAGGATTCAAAATAAACATTTACAAATTTGCAGCACATTTCTACTTAAAATAGCCACAAACAAAAATATTTCTAGAAATAAGGAGGTAAACTCTCTTTATAAAAAGAACTCCAAAACACTGAAGGAAATCAGAAAACATGTAAGTGGAAAAGCATTCCATGCTCATGGATTTCGAGAATCCATATATCTAAAATGTCCATGCTGCCTAACGCAACCTACAGAATAAATGCTATTTTTATTAACTATTAATGCAATTGTAAATAGGAGAAAACTATTGTAAGAGTTATGTGGAAAAATAGCAAAAGCAACTTTAAACAAAAAGAATAACCTGGAAACGCTCACATTACCTGACTTAAAGTTGTGCTACAACCTACAGTAACTAATATAACATGGTTCTGGTACACATATAGACCAATGAAACAGAAAAGAGAGCCTTCAGTTAAAGCTACACTTCTACAGTGAACTTAGTTTTTGACAAAGTTGACAAATAAAGGGGAAATAAACTCTATTCAATAAAGGTATTGGGAAACCTGGTTAGTCATAGGCACAAGATGAAAATTGAACCCCTTCCTCTCTCACCACATAAAAAATACATTGGGCAGGAGCAGTGGCTGACACCTGTAATCCCAGCACTTTGGGAGGCCAACATGGGTGGATCATGAGGTCAAGAGATAGAGACCTTTCTGGCCAACATGGTGAAACCCCGTCTCTACTTAAAAAACAAATACCCAGGTGTGGAGGCACGTACCTGTAGTCCCAGCTACTTTAGATGCTGACGCAGGAGAATTACTTGAACCTGGGAAGAAAAATTATACATATCTCAAGATAGATTAAAGACAATGGGGAGGGGGCGGAGGGGGGGGAAGACAACCAGGAAACAACACACACCAAAACCTGTTTCGGCGTAGGGAGAGTATCAGGATAAATAGCTAATGCATGCGGGGCTTATTACCTTGGTGATGGGTTGATAGGTGTGGTAAACCATCATGGTACACATTTACCTGTGTAACAAGCCTGTACTGTACATATATCCTAGAGCTACAATTTTTTTAAAAAGACTTAACCGTGAAACTTTGTGCTATAAAAAAATGTAGATGCACACCTAGAAAGTACTTTCCTAGACACTGGCCTCAGGAAAAAAAATGGACTAACACTTGAAAAGTGAATTTAAATGAAAATTGACACCTAAAGAGCTGCACAGCAAAAGAAAGTACTGGCAAAGTAAACAACCTACAGTATGGAATAAGATATGTGCAAATTGCATACAAAATAGAATCTATAATGTACCAAAAAAGACATAATATAGACACTTCTCAAAGGAATACATAAAAGCTGCTAATAAACATACAAAAATGTTTCTCAACATCCCTGATACTCAGAGGTAAATCAAAATGACATTGTGATACTACTCAAACCAGTTAAATTGCCTGAACCCAGGAGGCAGAGGCTGCGGTGAGCCGAGATCGTGCCATTGCACTCCAGCCTGGGTAACGAGCGAAACTCCGTCTCAAAAAAAAAAAAAAAAAAAAAAATTGGCTGTTTAATAAAGTTGTGGAGAAAAGGGAATCATTATACACTGTTGGTGGAAATCCAAACAAATTCAGCCCCTGTGTAACATAATTTGTAGATTTTTTAAAGTAAAAACAATTTCCCTTTGACTGACAGTATAAGTGTCTAAATGAATGAATGAAAGAAGAAAATTCCTGAGTGGCTTGAGAAAAACAGCTTACAGTATGCTGCCTTCAAGACACTCATTTTGGGGTTGGTACAGTGGCACGGTGGCTCACACTTAAAATCCCAACACTGGGAGACTGAGACCAGCCAAGTGGTAAAATCCTATCTTTACCAAAAAAAAAAAACTAAAATGCAAAAGTTAGCCAGGTGTGGTGGTACACGCCTGTAATCCCAGCCACTTGGGAAACTGAGGCAGGAGAATTGCTTGAACCTGGGATACAGGTTGCAGTGAGCCAGCCTCAGTGACAGAGCAAGCAAGACTGCATCTCAAGAAGAAAACAAAAAACTCATATTACCATTGAGTCACATAGGCTGAAATTATCAGAAAGGAAAATACCTATATTCTATGCATATGGTAACCACAATTGGGTGAGAAAGTCATAATTACATTAAACACACTTAAAGTCGAATACTAGCATGACAAAAATATCACATACTACCACTAAAATGGGTGAATTTATCAAGAACCTGTAACTGTTATGTCTATCTATATGAACATGTATGTACATTAGGGCTCCAAAATCTGTAAAATATTGACAAAAGATACATAGCAACATAATAACTGTAGAAATCAAGACCTCATTTTCAATAATAGAAAGTTCAGATAAAAATCATTAAGGAAACAAAAGACAACATTGTATACAGTATTATTTTGTACATAGAGGAATACGTGATAATCTTTCATTTTTTTTTTTATAAAGATGGGGTTTCACCATGTTGGTCAGGCTGCTCTTGAACTTCCGACCTCAGGTGATCCACCTGCCTTGGCCTCCAAAGTGCTTGGATTACAGGCGTGAGCCACCAAGTCCAGCCAAGAGGATAATTTTTAAAGAAGAAATGTTTGGTAGACTGTACAAGAAGTGGATGTCAGCAACTACCTCTGGTGAGAGCCTCAGGAAGCTTACAATCATGATGGAAGGCAAAGAGTAACTGGACATGTCACATGGTAAGAGACAGAGCAATTGTGAAATAAAGCACCTAGGTTCTTTCAGTGAACCAGCTTTCATTTGAATTCAGTGTAAACTTTTTGATTACCAAGGGAAGGATGGTCCCAAGCCATTCATGAAAAATTTGCCCCCAAGACCCAAACACCTCCCTATTAGGTCCCACATCCAACACTGAGGATTACATTGCAGCATGAGGTCTGGAGAACATGGACATCCAAACCACATTACAGATCAACTAGGCTTAACAGATATGAGTACAACTTTCCAGTCAAAAGCAAGAGAATACAAAATTTTGTTTGTTTAGAGACAGAGTCTCACTCTGTCACCCAGGCTGGAGTCCAGTGGCATGATCTTGGCTCATTGCAACCTCCACCTCCCAGGTTCTAGCAATTCTATCGCAGCCTCCCGAGTAGCTGGGACTATACGCACACACAGCCATGCCCAGTTTATTTATTTATTTTAGTAGAGACAAGGTTTCGCCATGTTTTCCAGACTGGTCTTGAACTCCTGAGCTCAGGCAATTCACCAGCCTCGGCTTCCCAAAGTGCTAGGATTATAGGTGTAAGCCACCGTGTCCAGCCTACAAAATATTCTTATCTATATCTAGTGTATTCTATTATGAATCATACCAAGCCTTATTAAATTTAAGAATACCAGCTAGGTGCAGTGGCTCATGCCTTAATCCCAACACTTTGCGAGATTAATTGTGGGAGGATCACTGGGGCCAAAATGTGAGACCAGCCTGGGCAACAAAGTGATGTCCTGTACCTACAAATAAAATCAAAAAATTAGCAGGACGTGATGTGCATGTCCTTAGTCATAGCTACTCAGGAGGCTGAGTGGAAGGATCACTTGAGCCCAGGAGGATGAGACTGCAGTGAGCCAAAATTATGCCACCGCACTTCAGCCTGGGTGACAAAGTAAGATCCTGTCTCAAAACAATAAATTTAAGAAGATCAAAATCATATACTGTGTTTTCTGGCCCAAACTGAATAAACCTAGGAATTAAAAGCAAAAGTAGAACTAGAAAATCTAAAAATACATGAAAATGAAACACTCTTCATATTCGTGGTCAAGGGTCGAAAAAAATTAATTTTTTGACTGGCGCAGTGGCTCATACCTGTAATCCCAGCACCTTGGGAGAGTGAGGCAGGTGCATCACCTGAGGTCGGGAGTTCAAAACCACCCTGACCAACATGGAGAAACCCTGTCTGTACTAAAAATGCAAAATTAGCCTGGCATGGTGGTGCATGCCTGTAATCCCAGCTACTCAGGAGGCTGAGGCAGGAGAATTGCTTGAACCCAGGAGATAGAGGTTGCAGTGAGCCAAGATCATGCCATGGCAGTTTACCCTGGACCACAAGAGCAAACCTCCATCTCAAAAAAATAAATAAATAAATATTCAAAGATGTCAATGCAACATACAGTGGTAAACAAATTCAGTATAATCTCTAAACAAATTCTAATGGAACAGTTTTTTTTACAGAAATATTGTTTAAACTTTTTAAATTTGATTATAAACTATAGCAAAACATTCATTAAAAAGAAAAATGATGCATCATATTTTCTGATTTGAAAATACAAGGTACACTAATAAAAACAAAGTGGTATTGACACAGAAACAAACAGATGAAAGAACAGGTACAGAAATGAACCCTTCTGTACATGATCAAATGATCTTCCACAAAGTTGCCATGAGCACACAATAGAGAAAAGAGAATTTCTTCAACAGTAATGTTGAACATTGGATATCAACACTGACAAATTAAGTTGAATAATTTTCTTGAACCACATACAAAAAAACATTTAAAAAATACTTAGACATAAAAATAATTTCTTAGAAATGAATATAAGAAAAATACATGACATTGGTCATGGCATTATTTTCTTAGATGTGACATTAAATGCATGAGCAACAAAGAACAGAAAAATTGAACTATATTATACTTCAGAATCTCTGCACATTAATTACATTCAATAGAGTGACAATGTCTCCTAGAAAATGAGTGAAAATATTTGCAAATCACATGTGATAAGAGTTGTATTCAGAATACATAACTCTTAAAAACAAATGCCAGTGCGGTGGCTCACACCTGTAATCCCAACACTTTGGGACCCTGAGATGAGCGGATCATGAGGCCAGTAGTTCGAGACCAGCCTGGTCAACATGTTGAAACCCTGTCTCTACTAAAAATACAAAAATTAGCTAGGTGTGGTGGTACATGCCTGTAATCCCAGCTACTCGGGAGACTGAGGCATGAGAATTGCTTAAACCCGGGAGGTGGAGGTTACAGTGAGCTGAGATCATGCCACTGCACTCCAGCCTGTGACAGAGTGAGATTCTGTCTCAGAAAAAAAAAAAAAAAGAAAATAAATTTGAATAACTTGATTTAGAAATGAACAAATAATTGAAGTAAATGTTCATTAAAAATGAACACTAAAATACTATTTGTAGAGAAATGCATAATAATTACAGTAAAAAAATCACCTCATACCAATCAGAATGGCCATTATCAATTTTTTAGTACCAAATCTGTTGATTATGCAATAACAATAATCCTCATGTTGCCTGCTGGTGGAAAACAAGAATGCAGCCATTATTTTAAAATTCTATAAAGATTTCTCAAGTAATTGTAAATAAAATTGTGGGCTGGGTGTAGTGGCTGACATCTGTAATTCCAACACTTTTGGAGGCCAAGTTGGGCACATCACTTGAGACCAAGACTTTGAGACCAGCCTGGCCAAAATGATGAAACCGCATCTCAACTAAAAATATAAAACTTAGCCAGTTATAATGGCGAGAGCCTGTAATTCCAGCTACTCAGAAGGCTGAGGCACTGGAATCCTTTGAAACAGGGAGGCAGAAGTTGCAGTGAGCTGGTATTGTACCATAGCACTCCAGCCTGGGTGACAGAAAGAGACTGTCACAAAAATAAAACTATCATTAACTACAGCAATCCCATATATCTGTATATCCAACTGTACAACCCAGGACCTGAAAGACATATTTGAACATCCATGTTTATTGTACTGGTATTCACAAAAGCCAGAAGGCTGAAGAAACTTAGATGCCCCTTGACTTACAAACACATTAAAAAAGGTAACAAACACACAACAGAATTTCATTCAGTCTTAAAATAGAAAATCTTGTGACATTTTAAGATAAACTTTGAGAATAGTATGTCACCTGAAATAATCCAGTAACAAAATGATGGAGATGGTATGATTCCACTTAGGAGCTATCGTAAGTAGTCACACTCATAAAAACCAAAGTGGAAGGGTGTTTATCAAGGGATAAAGAAAGGGTAAAATGGGCAGTTGTTACTTAAATTTTAGTTCCACAAGATGTAAAATTTCTTAAAGTCTTTTGCATAACAATGTAAATATACTTAACATGCCTGAAATAAAGTTTTGGGGATAGGGCCTCACTGTCACCTGAGCTGGAGTGCAGTGGCACAATTATCACTCAGTGTAGCCTCAAACTCTTTTTTTTTTTTTTTTTTTTTCTGAGACAGAGTTTCGCTCTTGTTACCCAGGCTGGAGTGCAATAGCGCGATCTCGGCTCACCGCAACCTCCGCCTCCTGGGTTCAGGCAATTCTCCTGCCTCAGCCTCCCGAGTAGCTGGGATTACAGGCACGCGCCACCATGCCCGGCTAATTTTTTGTATTTTTAGTAGAGACGGGGTTTCACCATGCTGACCAGGATGGTCTTGATCTCTTGACCTCGTGATCCACCTGCCTCGGCCTCCCAAAGTGCTGGGATTACAGGCGTGAGCCACCGCGCCGGGCCCACCTCAAACTCTTAAGCTCAAGTAAGCCTCCCAAAAAGCTGGGACCATTGGTGCACAAGACCGTGCCTGGGTATTTAAAAAACAAAGTAGAGGGAATCTCCTTATGTTTCCCAGGCTGGTCTCAAACTTTTGTGTACAAGGAATCCTCCTGCCTTGATCTTCCAAAATCCTGAGATTACAGATGGAAGCCACCACCATGCCTGGCTCTAAAATGTACACTTTAATAGATTTAAGATGGTAAATTTTATCAGTTTTCACAACATTTTTTTTTTAACTGAAAAAAATACAGAATCAAAAACTTTTCAAATATGCGGTGGCTCACGCCTGTAAACCTAGCACTTTGGGAAGATGAGGCGGACAGATTGCCTGAGCTCAGGAGTTTGAGACCACCCTGGGCAACACAGTGAAACCCCATATGTACTAAAAATACAAAAAAATAGGCAGGTGTGGTGGTGAATGCCTGTAATCCTAGCCACTCAGGAGGCTGAGGCAGGAGAACTGCTTGAGCACAAAAGGCAGAGGCTGTAGTGAACCAAGATCACACCACTGTACTCCAGCCTGGGAAACAGAGCAAGACTCTGTCTCCAAGAAAGAAAAAAAAAAAAATTACTCTGAAATCACAAAAGTGTTTCTCTAACGCAAAGGAACTATATATTCATTATAAAACACATGGTGAAAAGAAGACTATTTCCATGATTACTCACTTAGACAAAATAAAACAACCATTGAAAATCAGCTAAGAATGAATATAAACAAGATGTAACCAAAATAGGGGTCATTGATAAATAAACACACATATATAATCTGATTTTGATAGACATCTGCCTGATTTATCTCTTAATTAAACCCCACATTGACTTTTAAGTACAAGCAATTGCAAAATGTCTTAAATTGTAACATGTAAGTAAAAAAAAATTACAATAAATTAATGTTAAGGAACCTATACTGAAAAAACACACTAATATAGAACTACAGAACAATAAGAGACATGTTGACTCAAAATCTGGTTTGCATTACTGGTATAATATTAAGGAAGAATTTGCCTAGATAACTGCAATATTTGACCGTGCACCTATGGAAGACAGGTATTTTGAATTGTTGTCATACATTGTATGGCAGAATTTCAGAGGAAATGCAGTATAACCATAACTAAGAGATCCTAATGAGAAATTTTCAAGAAGCATTTAAACTATAGATGATTTTGATATTTTAAATATATAATCACGAGGTCAGGAGTTTGAGACCAGCCTGGCCAACGTAGTGAAACTTCATCTCTACTGAAAAAACAAAAATTAGTCGAGTCTGGTAGCATGTTCCTATAGTCCCAGCTACTCAGAAAGCTGAGGTGGGAGAATCACGTACACCTGGGAGGTGGAGGTTTCAGTGCGTCGAGACCATGCCACTGCACTCCAGCCTGGGTTTCAGAGTGAGATTTTGTCTCAAAAAAAAAAAAAAAGAAAGAAAGAAAATAAACAGTATATTAAAACCTGTCAAACTGATAAATATACTCAGTAAATTACCAAACATTAAAAACATATGAGTATAAATTATGGTTCCATATACTTAAACTATCTGATAAAATAGAGAAAGAAAACAATCTTTACGATAAAAAAACTGCTGAGAACAAATTTAACCAGAGATAAAAAATTTTTACAATGTAAGATATCAGTGAAAAAAAATTAGATATAACACAAATAAATTTTAAAATATTATATGGATTTAAAAAACAAGTTTTGTTAAAGTGCCATGTTATCCAAAGTAATCTATAGATTCAATAAACTCTGTATCAAAATTCCAGTGGCACTTTTGTCAAAGTAATAGAAAATACAATTCTAAGATTTACGTTAAACAATAATAAAGTTTGAATAGCCAAAGCAATCTTGAGGAAAAAGAACAAAGTAGAGGGACATCATAATTTCAAACTGTATTTCAAAACTATACTAACAAAAACAGAAAAGAATATGCAGAAAAATGAACCAAAAAACACAATGGAATAGAAACCACTACTCAAACATTTCAGATATGCAAAAAGAAAACTTAAAGTATAGTTTAATACAGTTTCTCAAAATTATGCAGATATTCACATGTCCCTAAAAACAATTAAAAAAAAAAGTCAGATTGTGTAGTCTTTAATGTGCCATGAAGAGGACGTTGGCCCTCACTGTGAACTTAAAGAAGGATTACTGAAGGGAAAGTAGAATCCTTAAAGAACTTAAGACAGAAGATGTTCTATGCGAGAGCAAAATAAAAACTCAGCCTTCCCAGAAATGATTTCCTTTGGAACACAGCTTCCCAAATTAAATCTAAAGGAGCGGCCTTGTCCTTGGCCTTTGACCTCTCACCCATGCCATCTGTGTATTCACTCACCTACCTGGGGGTTTGGCTACCATCACATGACTCTTCATATTCCAGGGCTCTTTTCCTTGCTCCAGCCAGGTGATCAGGTCTGGCTTAAAAACAGCAATACCTATTTTATTAAAAATAAATATCATGACTCTTGCTCATATTCTCCAATTGCCAACCTAGTAATGTGCTCAGTAAAGAGGTTATAGAATATTCTAGTAAATTAATCCCAAAATGCTAATATATAACAGAAATTTCTAAATATCTAGAAAGTACTTGAAATTTGTAGGTTCTTAATTTCACTACCCAGTACTATTGAATAAAAAAAAAAAAAAGCTGGTGTGGGAAGTTAGCTTTTAAGGTGTGGCCAACAATATTTTGTGCCAATAAATTTCTGGAATCACTACTACTCTAGAGTGAAGGATACAGATCAGCTCAGAAATGTGGAAAATTCAGGTCAAGATGAAACATCTTAAAGAAATTCTTTGCTACAAATCTCAAATATTTTTTTGAAAACCAGTATCTGAAACTCATTTATGCAAAGCATACATTACAAAAAAAGAAAAAGAAAAAAAAAAAGAAATGAAACCTTTAGGGTGTATTTATTAGGAATTGTGTATTGAAGTTATCCTCACCCAGGAAGACCAGGTTTCTGTAGTTCTCTAACATCACATCTCTATATAAATTCTGCTGTGCAGTGTCCAGGCATTGCCACTCCTCCAGAGAGAATTCTATTTTCACATCTCTAAATGTCAGTGGTCCCTGAAACACACACGCACACGCACACACACATATTAACCAAGTAGCAGCAATGGGCAGACTTTTAAATTTGACTCAATGTAAAATAAGACAGTAAAGGAAACTGATTCTGACTTATAGGAGTGACTGAAATTATTCACAAAATAATTTTTAACACAAATATTTTCTAATATACTTATCCTGAGAATAGAAAGTGGCATAACAGCCACAGAATCTATGTGTATATGATACTCTTTTAGATTAGATAAAGTACAAAAGTAAGGACATAAACACAAACATGTCCACTTCCGAGTGCTATATGTGCATCCTACATAATGAGTTGTGTGTATTTTTCACATGGAAAAGTTACCTCTCTAGTTTTAATGTGTACAAAAAACGAGATTGTTAATGCAGATTATTTCTTCAGACAATCTGGAATATAGTCTGATTTCTAAATTTCTAACAGGCTCACCAGTAATGTCAATGGTTTTGGCCCAAGAATATTTTTTCATACATCCAGTAAGTGGAAGAGCCTGTAATTTTCCCAGTTTTTCTGGCCTGTAAATAAAGATGAGAGCCTCGATTTTCCAAAGGCAGATATATGCAAAGAAAACGTAAGATAGAAAGAGCTGCCAGATTAAATGTAATGGTTTATGCACATGAGCAGCATAAAGATACTTAATAATGAAGAGAAAAATAAGTAACTCTAAATAAAGAAATCTGTCAGAGAGCTGTTTAACCAAGTATATCATTAACATCAACTGCACTAGGACAAATTTTTATGATGTGCTGAGGCACACAGAAAACACAGCTTCACTGCTGTGATACTGCTCCCAAAAGGAAATTACAGTTTGATCTTAACCATAAAAAAATCAGTTTTGAGAGGCCAAGGCGGGTGGATCACGAGGTCAAGAGATCGAGACCATCCTGGTCAACATGGTGAAACCCCGTCTCTACTAAAAATACAAAAAATTAGCTGGGCATGGTGGCACGTGCCTGTAATCCCAGCTACTCAGGAGGCTGAGGCAGGAGAATTGCCTGAACCCAGGAGGCGGAGGTTGCGGTGAGCCGAGATCGCGCCATTGCACTCCAGCCTGGGTAACAAGAGCGAAACTCCGTCTCAAAAAAAAAAAAAAGAAAATATGATATGGTATGGCACAGTGGCTCATGCCTGTAATTGTTAACAGTTTGGTAGGATGAAGCATGTGGGTTGCCTGAGTTCAAAAGTGCAAAACCAGCCTGGGCAATATGGCAAAAAAACACCTCTACAAAAAATATATCAAGAAAAAATTGCCAGGCATAATGGTGCAAGCCTGGAGTCCCAGCTACTTGGAGGTGATGAGGTAGAAGGATTGCTTGAGCCAGGGAGGTTAGCCTGCAGAAAGCCAAGATCACACAAACACACTTCAACCTGGGTAATAGGGTGAGACCCTCTCTCCAAAAATAAATAAAATAGAAGATTTAATAGAAACAAAATTGGTACTACAAACATCATGGAATACTATGTGGCCATAAAAAAGAAGACTGTGTTCTTTGGAACATGGATAGACCTGGAGACCTTTAACTGTAGAAAACTAACGCAGAAACAGAAAACCAAATGTGTGTTACTAAGAGCGAGCTCAATAAGCCGGGTGCGGTGGTGCGTGCCTGCAGTCCCAGCTACTCGGGAGGCTGAGGTGGGAGAATCTCTTGAGCCCAGGAGTTCTGGGCTGTGGTGCACTATGCTGATCCGGTGTCTGCACTAAGTTCGGCATCAATATGGTGACCTCCAGGGAGCAGGGACCACCAGGTTGCCTAAGGAGGCGTGAACCGGCCCAGGTCGGAAACGGAGCAGGTCAAAACTCCCATGCTGATCAGTAGTGGGATCGCGCCTGTGAATAACCACTGCACTCCAGCCTGGGCAACATAGCAAGACCCCGTTCCTAAAAAAAAAAAAAAAAAAGAGCTAAATAATAACACATGGACACAAAAAGTGGAACAATAATCACTGAGGCCTGCTCTAGGGTGAAGGCTGAAAAGACAGAAAGGATCAAATAAATACCTGTTTGGTGCTATGCTTAGTACCTCAGTGACAAAACAACCTGCAGGCCAAATCCCCGTGACACAATTCACCTACATAACAAACCTGCAGGAGTTCCCCAACCCAAAAATAAAAAATTTGAAAAGAAAAAAGCTCATGGGTGGGGAAGGCGTCATGCAGGTGACATAAGTGATTCGTGCTACAGATGGTGGCCCCGGTGGGCTGTACACTGACTTCTGCGTCCATGGAGGCAGATGACATTAGGGACGGCTGGTCCAGAACCCTCAGCTGGTGGAGAAAACAGGTTGCTGCTACAGACTTGGTGTCTGGGAATAGGAACACATCAGGAGACTCGTAGGCACTTGTGTGTGTGTTTGGCAAGAAACACTAGGATGAAAAATGCTGTGGTGAAATTCCTGAGGGTGGTGCCTATTCCTGGGAGGGGTGTGGATACATCAATGTCTACTGGGTATGTCTGTGAGTGGGTGTGAATCCTGAGTGGCAGCGGTGGGAAAAGGGGTTCTGTTATCAGAGCTCCTTCCCTCTAAGTTTTCAGTCCTCCCTCACCGTGGGAGGAGACCTGGAATCCCAGGACAATGGGCAGTGTGACAGCCTGTGTACAGGAGATCAGAGCCTCCCATTTGCAGACACCCAGAGTTCCATTCCAGGCCAGGCTTCTGAGATGTCTTTCTTCTGGCACCAAATCTGTCAAGTTTGCTGAACACCAAACAATTCTCCAAAACCAACACACTGTCTAAAATTCAAATTCTGACCCCACTCAGAGTCAGCACAGACCCTAATTCAAGGCTCAGCCCCGTAACACTGTCCTCACTGCAGATGGCAGACACAAATGCCATGGACTCATCTACGTTTTGGGGCTACTGTTTAAACAATCAGGACTCCCATAAACTCCCTCAAGTTCAATAATTTGATGAATCACAGAACTCAGCAAAATATTGTAGTTATGTTTACCCATTTATCATAAAAGACACAACCCAGAAAAACTCAACTGGAAGAAATGTAGGCTGGGCACGGTGGATCATGCCTGTAATCCCAGCACTTTGGGAGGTCAAGGCAGGTGGATCACCTGAGGTCAGGAGTTCGAGACCAGCCTGACCAACATGGCAAAACCCCATCTCTACTAAAAATATAAAAATGAGCTGGGCATGGTGGCGCATGCCTGTAGTCCCAGATACTCAGGAGGCTGAGGTTGGGAGAATTGCTTGAACCCAGGAGGTGGAGGTTGTAGTCAGCCAAGATCACGCCACTGCACTCCAGCCTGGGCGACAGAGCAAGACTCTGTCTCAACAAAAAAGAAATGTAAAGGACAAAGAAAAGAGGTGTGAAAAGATGAAGCACATAGATAATCCTGGTGAACAGCGTGATTAATAATATTCTCCTTCCTCTGTGTTCTCCAGAAACAGTTTATAGAAAAACATACCCTTCCTATTATGACTTAGATGGTGCTCTCTTTTCTTACCTATCACATAACCAGATATTGTCTCTACACACATTTTTTTAATTAAAAAATTAGCTGAATTTTTCTTCTGTGGTCAAAGAAAATTCTTCTTAATCAAAATTTACTTAAGTTTGTCTCCTTCCCACAGGCTCCTGAACTTTGAGCTACCCTCAGTCTGAGCCAACATACAACGCTATTTTAAGTTTCTCCTCAAAACTGACTGACTTCAGGATAAAATATTTCTAATCTAAAATCTGATTTTGGCTGCCCAGTGGCTCCCTGCAATCCCAGCACTTTGGGAGGCTGAGGAGGGCAAATCCCCTGAGTTAGGAGTTTAGAGAAAACTGTTTCTACTAAAAATATAAAAATTAGCCAGGTATGGTGGGGGGTGGCTCTAATTACACCCTCTTGAGGCATGAGAATCACTTGACCCCAGGAGGCAGTGGTGGCAGTGAGGTGACATTGAGCCACTGCAGAGTGAGACTTGGTCTCAAAATAATGAACTAAAAATAAAAAATAAAAATGTGATTTTTATACCCCCCATTTGCCATTCCCCTCTGACCTTCTAATCTTCTTTCCTCCTCCCAAAAGAAAAAAAAAGCCTTTGTCTGCCTAAAACTTGCAATCCTTAAAGATCTTCTAGTTGGTATTTCCTTCTGTTGCAATACTCTTAGAATTTTTTTTTTTTTACATAAACCTCATTTTGTTTTATTTTACAAAGTCTAGAAACTGCCTCAAAACAATAACAACTTCATCCTCAGTAGGATCCTCCCAGTCTTCTGCCATCTTCATGTCTACTGAACTCACCTGTTTGTCCCCCGTTTTCCAGGGCTCTGTGGCTTTTCTCAGTATAGAGTTTCTTCCGTGGCTGGGCTGAGCAGGCTGGGACATTCACAGGGAAGGAAGGACATTCATAGTAAGTTGCTAACTGGGTCTTTAGTAACCTCCCTTCCCTTTGCAGGCTCAGGATTAGCCTTAGCTTGGGTGTCACTGGCACGAGCTTTAATTTCCATGGCAGACTTGTTCACTTGGTTTTTGAAACTGAAAAATTCCACAAAATTCCTCAAACACAGTTTATAAGGGAAGGAAATTTTAAAGCACTACATTACATAGCTCAATGAGAAATACAAATGTATGTATGTATTTCCTTAAGATGATAAATATGTTATTTCCTTTAAAAATGATGTAGTAGGCCGGGCGCGGTGGGTCAAGCCTGTAATCCCGGCACTTTGGGAGGCTGAGGCGGGTGGATCACGAGGTCAAGAGATCAAGACCATCCTGGTCAACATGGTGAAAGTCCGTCTCTACTAAAAATACAAAAATTAGCTGGGCATGGTGGTGTGTGCCTGTGATCCCAGCTACTCAGGAGGCTGAGGCAGGAGAATTGCCTGAACCCAGGAGGCGGAGGTTGCGGTGAGCCGAGATGGTGCCATTGCACTCCAGCCTGGGTAACAAGAGCAAAAACTCCGTCTCAAAAAAAAAAAAAAAAAAAAACAGATGTGTTGTCCTGGCACTCTAATACCAGCACTTTGGGAGGCGGAGGAGGGCAGATCATGAGATCAGGAGTTTGAGACGAGCCGGCCAACATGGCGAAACCCTGTATCTACTAAAAATGCCAAAATTAGCTGGGCACGGTGGCACGCACCTGTAGTCCCAGCTACTCAGGAGGCTGAGGCAGGAGAATTGCTTGAACCTGGGAGGCGGAGGTTGCAGTGAGCTGAGATCGTGCCATTGCACTCCAGCCTCGGCAAGGGAGCCAGACTCCAACTCAAAAACAAAAAAAGATGTGTCTGACTCACTTGTCAAGTCAGGCCACCCAATCACTTGAGAGAGAAAGATTCTCTCACCCCATCCTGTTCACTTAAGTGCTCAATGACCACCCTCTCTGCCCCAGGTGCATTTCAGTTTGCAAGCTCTTGAACCATCTCACTGGGGTCAGGTTTGATTTGTCTTTTGGGATGGTACTGTTTCTTTCACAATTCTTAGAGAATCCAGGGGGCCGAAATTATTTCAGTGTTCCCTCAATACCAGCATCTGATTGGCTGACCAGCAATATGTCTGCAGAAATGGAAGCTAGGTTGGTGTGGAGACGATCTTAAGTTCTCAAAGGGTTTGCTTTCCAAAGGAAGAGTACACCAGGAGATTCCTCTCAGCCCCAGGGCATCCACCTGCTCCCGAGAGGCTACCCTCCAACCTCAGGCTGTCCCGCATGTCACATTCCCAGATACCCAGAGTTCCATTCCAGGCCAGGAGCTGACTGTCACTAGACATTCCAGCATACGCAGCCACACTGGATATCTTGATTTATCCCCAGAAAGTACTGAAACCCAGGACCAGGGCAAAAACTGAAAGGTGGCTGAGGACACATTATCTTATGTCTCCAAAGGGAAACCTTGAACCAAAAATATTCTAAGATCTCTGTGCTTAGGGAAGATTTAAAAAAAAAAAAAAAAGAGGTGCAGAGATTTTTTACAATACAGTGTCGAGATAATTCTTTGTTTTCTTCTCACGGGAAATATTTACAAACAGGTAACATTTTTTTAAATGCCATCCCGTGCTTTATCAAAAAATGAATTAAAATACAGTATTTCGAATGTACACTAAAGGAATAGTTGACAATGTGAATTACGGAGGGCACGTTGGCATTTGGGAACGTCAGAAGGAACTGGAAATTTGGTATGTTACTGTAAGCCAGAGTTAGGCTGGAGGAATGAGGAATGGTGAATGGGGAGTAGTCTTGAGACCCTGATTGGGACATACGTGAAAAATGCAGGGGAAAATCAGTCCCCCATAAAGTGTGAAAATAATTAAGTGGCAGGCAATTACACTAAGACCGCTCCACTCCCAGGGTATCTAGTTTAAAAAAATCTAACTTGAATGCATTTTTTGTAAATTACTACATTGTGGAAAATAAAATTCAGGCGTAACCAACTGTAAACTGCCAATTAACCTCTGATTAAATGACCAGGAAATTTCCTCATTGATGGTACAAATTAAGAAACTACATTCCTCGACTAAACAATTACTGAATTCGGCCAGGCGCCGTGGCTCAAGCCTGTAATCCCAGCACTCTGGGAGGCTGAGGCGGGTGGATCACTAGGTGATCGAGACCATCCTGGCCAGCATGGTGAAACCCCGTCTCTACTAAAAATACAAAAATTAGCTGGGTGTGGTGGAGTGCGCCTGTAGTTCCAGCTACTTGGGAGTCTGAGGCAGGAGAATTGCTTGAACCCGGGGGGTGGAGGTTGTAGTGAACCGAGATCGCACCATTGCACTCCAGACTGGCACCTGGCAACAGAGCGAGACTCTGTCTCAAAAACAAACAAACAAACGAACAAACAAACAAATTACTGAATGTGGTTTTATCATACACCTTATAAAAGTGTTTCCTTCAAGCTCCTCCTACAGACCAAAAACTACAAACCACAATTCTTGCATCACTGTTTGATTATTTAATATTTTTGTGGTAAGCCGGGCGCGGTGGCTCAAGGCTGTAATCCTTGGGAGGCCGAGACGGGTGGATCACGAGGTCAAGAGATCGAGACCATCCTGGTCAACATGGTGAAACCCCGTCTCTACTAAAAATACAAAAATTAGCTGGGCATGGTGGCGCGTGCCTGTAATCCCAGCTACTCGGGAGGCTGAGGCAGGAGAA